TGAATGTCATCGTATCCCGAGTGCCCCGAGGTGTTTTTTTCCCCTCTTTTACACAGATTTGTTATATTATTTCACTCGTATTCCGCATTACTCAAGGATTTTTAGTTGTTCATTCGACCCATTTCTTAGCGTAACATCAAAATACTGCATGTTACATAATTTCAACAATCCACTGTTTTCTAGAACTGATTTAGCTCTAATGACCGGATACGAACGCACAGATAGTATCAACGACGATTTATCGACATTGCCCATTGTCGCATGACGATAAAGTGTTTTCGTCATCCCGTCTAGTGTATATATACAAATCCAAACAAGTGAAACCCCATAGTCCATTACCTCCAGCATCTAAAGAAGCAGTTGAAAAAAGCGCACGATATTTATTTATTCAAACAATATTTATTTTTATTTACTCATTCTATGTTAATTTACAAATCAAATATTTTTCAGGTAATAAATAACTGAAAATATATATACGTACAGCCCCGAAACTGTTTTGACCTTTGAAAATGCGATTTATGAAAAATCGCATTATACGAGTGTGTGTGTGTGTGTGTGTGTGTGTGAGTCCGTATGATACTTTTATTGTTATTAGGCTATTAATACATCGTACACCGCAGTGCATTAAATCAATGATGATGGTTCAAATCAATCGAACTAATCTAAAAGTAATAAATGTATTATTATCGTTTCGTGTGTGACCAGAAGCAATTGTTGATACTTTGGTATAAATTTGCGCAACTTAAACTTTTGGGAGGTCTACTGTCTATTATATATAGGCAGATTTTTAATTGTAAAATTCCCAATTCGCACACTTCAATAAATAACGATGCTCAAACGCATAACCAAAAGAAAATCCCATAGATAATAAGTTTATTGTGGGTTTACGGTGGTTTTGGGTCATGATGAAAAACTAAATTACGATATTATGTGATCCTGATAGTGTGTATATATACATACGTATTATATTTTTGTTATTATTATCATGCGATAAAAAAATAGTGTTACCAAAAAAAAAAACCCCATGGACCGTCTAGACTTTGCTATAAAATAAATAATAATAATTATACTATTAGTTTTTTCATTTCTGCCTATTTTATAAGCTTTCACTCTTCTCTACATATATATTTTCATATTCATACATTTGTGACAATGCAGTTAGTATGTCGGACTAGATTGTTCATTAGAATAAATAGCTCAAAGTTGTCAGAATTTAACACACAAATGATAGTTGTTGGAATTACATGATTATTATATAATTATTAAAATATTTAAAATTCTTAATAAATACTAAAATAAGCAAACTGTTGTTTCATTGTGTACGAGTATAAATGCTATTTTTATAATTACGAGAGCACATCTTTAAAATAATTAATTACTATAACATACCGTATGATGATGAACATGCCAATGTAATAATTACCAACGTAGTTCAATTACCGATTTAATGTTATTTATTTGTACTGGTTATTTAAACTATCTTGGATAGATATAATAGTACGTAATTATCATTATTTTATTTGTTTTTATTGTTATTGCGTTTTTTTATTGAACCATTATAATAGTGTAACAATCATAAAAAAAAAAAATGTAAAATTCAAACGCGTATGGAAGAAATAAAGGGAAAGTAATAATCAAAAGCATAAGACGAGACGAAAGGGGACGATAGAGATAATAAATTAAATATTATTAAACATTGAAAACAAAGGTAATTCTTGAATATCTTTGGTAGTGAAATAAATATTATAATAGTATAAATACAAATCAGGAGTAGAATATTCTGAACTAGAAAGATGACTGAAGAGAAGGTCTCTATAGACTGAGAAAGCAATGGAAAATATTTAATCACATTATAGTGTAAAAAAAAAATTATTTATAAATACAAAACGATAAAATATTATAAGCAAAATTAACAATTCCAATTTACGAGAAAATATTTATGGGTTTAAATTACAATTAGTCAAATAAATCGTATATTAATAAAATCATTTTAATTATTTTTACTTACAAACACTTTAAATTAACTAATTAATAGTTATAATCGTAAATAAATGTGATTCAAATGTGAGGAAATAAAAAGAAAAATGGTAAATTGATGTAATTATAAATATTATAATACCATTAAAACACTTCAACCATAAAACACTTTTGTTGAAAATATTAGAAAATATAAAATTATGTGAATAACGCAAATTTTTTTTAGTGAACACCTTCACTTACAGCGTGCACGCATTTACTTGCATTTAATATAGCTGTTTATGTTTAAATTAAATATATTATAACAGTAAGTGTACAAAATGTATGTACATTAATATGATTTATACACGCAATATTTACTATTATATACGTTTACTATACGTTTATTATACTATTATATACTATTATTATACACGTTTGTTATGTATGCATGTATATAAATGCTCTTTTTTTATTTATTAATTTCAACTTACATAATTTTACTATCTCAACAACTATACAGTGGATGTATAATAATTTAAATAACCATATTAATTACTAACTTTACTGTCCCGGTATTATATTTCAGTAGTTTTAATATCTGCAGAACTATCAAATAGTTTTATTTATTTATTTTTTAATGAAGAAATTTCAATAAAAATTCTTAAATGCATTAAAATCTATTAGTTATTTTAGTTTTAAAAATGAACTAACCGCAATTCTACTAAATCCATAAAGGTACGAATTATATGTGTATATTATACATAGCTCTTGAACTTTTATTTTTGAGCCACGACTCCTGATGATTAAACAACAATTAATTTTGTCATTTGTACGTTTAGCACTTGAATAATACTATATTACTTTCGTTTGTGAGTGTCCGACCTATTACGTATAGTGTACACTATAAGATTGATGATATATGCCTGATAAAATCATCAGTAGTAAATCAAAATGTAACCATTGTATATCAAATCATACCAATTACCAACCAAACGATTAAGAAGTCTTATAACGCGAGTATACGGTTTCTATAGAATAAAAAAAAAAAAAAAACTAGAAAATGGACTGGTATAATCTAATGTCGCACCGGAAGGTGCAGTAGTAAGACTAAATGTAATATCGCCTGGATGTAATATATTATTATTGTGTGCCTGTAAAAACTGATCATTTAAATAATAGCCTGGCACAGTTTTTTTTTTATATGATATTTTAACTTTATATAATATTGCTGCGCACCGCGTTTCGAGCGTACATTTTCTCTATATCGAGTTGCAACACTCGAGCGGAATTGTGAATAATTTTGGTGAGGTTTACCATAGGATATTTCTGGAATAATCAATGTTCACAGTACGCAAGTGTAGTAACTTGAAAAAGTCATTTTACGGTCGCGTGTACCTGTTGCAATGCGCATAACGTACATATCTGGACTAGATATAATTTAACGTCAATGAATAACGACTACGCATGGATATGTGGCTATAAACTGATATAGGCGCATAAATGTGTTAATATTTCCTGACATTCGTTTTACACAGAATTTCAATGAAAATTTCGAAATTTATAAATTCATAGAAAAGTGCCTACCTATATATGACCGTGTAATAATTAAAACGCCAACACGGACTAAACCTTTAATTTGTCAAATCTACACACTCAATAATTGTCTTGCGTCATTTTCTGTATGTTATAGTGTACTATTAATTACTCGTCACGTGTTTTTTTCACCATTAATATTTTTCCTTTCGTCAATAATTTACTATTTAATACAGTTAATTTGTACAAAAGGCCCGTGGACCATACAATCTATAAAACGAATAAATAATATTATAACAGTACACATTCACTCGTACATACGGATTATATACCCGGATTTTTGTAATTGTTTTAAAAATGTATTGTTGCTGCGCGGGTGACATACAATTTCAATCGGACTTGGAAGTATGACGCAACGGATCGATACCCAGAGGCGGCTTGATTATAAATTTTGTGGTTCACTGAACTTTAACTGAACCATCAAAAATTTTGAGGCGGATGTCATTTTAATAGGTGGGTACTTGGTCTTGGCGTTTGGCAGTGGTGGGTAATATTAAATTGGTAAATTAATAAAAATTAGATAAGTTTTTATACCTAATACGACTTTTTGGTAGGCGGGTGGGTGGTATTAACTATGCTTGAACCACTAACTGAAAAATGTCAAAAAGCCTATTTCGGTACCGTCGTTTTATTTCTGTTCGTACGGGAAAAACCGAATATGATAGGTGCACTACGAACATTGAAGGCTAATGAATGTTCACCCCATCGTTTAAGTCATTCGTAGTCAAACGGCGCACAACACAATTTTTGTTATTGCTATTACACCGTATATTTTACCGGAACACGGGAAACCATTATTATTTAAGCACACGTTTAGACGGAGGTCGTAAAAATGTGCGTTCAGAAGGTACCGGTCGATCGGATTACAATACGAGTACGTTTGCGTGGACCACTTGGTTAAATCAAACGCAAAAATCGTAAGACCAGTGGTGTATTGGTAAATATATTTAAGGGTATACGCATTAAAAAAATATAGATATTAACCTCAAAAAAATAGTCTCGCTACGTTTCAATAAATTAAATAAATCCCAAGCGTGTTTATAACTTCTAATAAGACTATAAAATACAACACCACTAGATATACATATGCCACACGTTATAAATCGCAGATTTAAAAACCACAGTCTGAATGTCCATATTCCATATTATATTTAATAATTTCCATTATTCAAATGCCATTAACTAAATTGAACTTAAAATACATTAAACACAGCGTACACTGTAATCCTCAACAGATAAATATTTCATTCAAACCTCATAGTATATAACGATTTTTTCCCAATGAACTAGTGTTCAACTTTGGTTTTCAAGTTGTTTTAGAAGCGTATACCTGTGAAACAATATTTTACATCACGCCGAAAATCGAAATTCCGCTGAAGGGCGTATACCCCCGCGCGTACGTACTAATACACCCCTGTGTGAGACATAATATGTGATATCAAACTCACGGTGGAATATTGACGCATGTGCGACGGATGACGATGTGTTGTGCACGTTCAAAACACGTACGGCGAGACCGCGATCATGAGCTGCAAATGTTTATCGGTCGCCTGTCCGAACTGGCTGCAACCATATTAATCGTTACCGTTACGGTTGAACGTTGTGCGATCGGCGAACGTCCGCGGGATGAATCGATCCGAACTCGCGATCGATACGATGACGGGATCGCGTTTACTATCGGTACGCGCGCGAGAAAACGTTGTGCACGCGCGCCGCGTCCAAAACCGGAGAGTACGAATGACAAGACTGACCGTGCGCCGAACGCGATGACTGCGGTGCGCCCGCACATCGCGCGGCGGACGGCCACGAGGACCGCTGCATCCACCACCTCGTGCGCCCCACTAGTTGTGTAACGCTAATAGCGTCACGCGTGTGCACGGGCTTACGCAAACGGGCAATTGTAAACTCCGCCAGAATATCAGTTAAGGTAAAAAGGTAATAAAAGGTCTAATGTAAACACCGCCAGTTTTGTTTTGTGTTTTGCCTGTGAATCCATTCATAAACATCTAAGAAATTAATTTTATAAAAGTCAACCGAATGTACATATTTTTAGTAAAGTTCTTACCGAATTTCAAACCCAGACTTATAAAAAACTATTTGGCATATCTCAAGTAAATACGCTAAAAAATTAGAAATAAAAAAAAAATGACAGTATGCTATAAATAGGTACACTAATGGAGTAATACAAGATTTACGAGTATTACAAGAATACAAATTTACCAATTTAAAAGTTGTATCACATCATTTTGGTTTAAATAAATGACATAACTAAATATTTAACAATTATTTATTACGATTTTTTTACTGTGATTTAAATATTTAATGTGAACGATATGATATTATAATTTTTCTTAATAATATATCATATTAATTTATACTACTACTTGATTTTCTTCACTAGCGGAGTTAACGTGAACTTAATATTTCCTGTTTTTTGTTTTTGGCGGAGCTTACATGCTCCCATGCAAACATATTTTGTACACAGCGAAACCTCTGAACACTACGTGGTCGCTAAAATTTTATCCGCTGTTCAGAGGAAGACATTTTATTTTCATTAAATTATAATTAACAATAAAATTACAATAAATCGAATTCAAATATAAATTAGAATAATTTCACTTTCGTGGTAATTACATACATACATAAAAATAAACTATATAAATAATAATAATAAACGAATATTTACGAGAAAAATACATTCATATTGGTATCACAATCGTGACTAAATACTGACACGACAATGCATTTCGTTGTCGCGATAATATTTCAACAGCTCGATGGATAAGATATACTACACAGTATGATAATATATGCAATAAAATACAGTTGTATTATGTAGACTTTTATTTAGTTATTCCACAGTTTATTTTTAATTTTCGACAAAATTATCGATTCAAAAAATTGATATATTTTAAAAGTGTCCCGTTTTTTTTTTAGGGTTTCCTTAAGAAAATGAGTGAAAAGGCTCATTGTTCGGAGGTTTCCACTATCCAGAGGTCTCCGTTATGGCAGGTTTCACTGTATACCGAACGTGTGGAGGCCGTGCCTACTAAATGATTTCGTTTGTGGTCCTCGAGACAAAACGAAATAAATCCTACTGCGCAGCGTAATAATACACGCGCGTGCGAACAGAAAGTTGTGACAAAACACTTCTTGTTCACTTTTTTTCTCCCGGTGTAATAACCGTATTATTATTATTGTTGTTGTTAAATTACAAGCCCCGCGGTCAAACCCCACAGCCGTACGTAAGTATGATAATATCATGTGGCCGGCAGTACGTCGTATGCTACGGGGACGCCGAAACATGCACCGAAAGCTATATTGATTCCCACGCGCTGTCAAGATTTTTATCGTAAAACACATTGTCTACGAACGTAATCAGTTGCAGCACGATATACAAACACAAGTCACATTATTATTTGGAAACGCAATCATCATAATAAGCTAATTCCGTCAGACAGTGGCCTAAATCCCAAAATATCATCCCAATAAAAATGCATTTAAAAATTGTTTACAAATTATTAATTAATTTTATTTATTTGCTTTGTTATTGTGAACAAATGAGTTTTATCGTGATTAGAATGTTAAATCGCAAAACTGCAACTGCTATATAATTAACATTAACGATTAACGAAAAAACCTAAGTCCCCTGTACAATTTTTTTCGTTGACAAGTCCCCTGTAAAATGTCAACGAAAAAAAAAAAATTGAAACAAAAATCGCATATGTATGTTGTTTTTGTGTTTAACTTGACGTACTCCTGCATTCTTACATTGTGCCTACGCTACTTAGGATGACTACGTAACGCCTCGGGTCAATAGATAGGTTTTGAAAATCAAACAAATAATAATATATAAATGTTTACAATATTATTCTAAATACAATTTTATAATTATGTTGCTAGGAGAATTATTTCAGGTACATTCATTTTAAAATATATTACATAATATTTACATAAAAAAAACACTTGGATCGAGTACTTTCATAGTAAATCGCGAGTTCGTAATTTTCTTACATAAGTTTACGAGCGATCAAGTGTTTAAGTACTTAGAAAATGCGGCATAGGTAACAATAAACGCGATTTTGATTTAAAAAAAAAATATACATACAAACATTAAATAACCCTGTAGAAGAGCAACGTATATCAGCTATACGTTTGTCGAGCATATGAACGTTTTAAAAAAAATGAATTCTTCTTTGTAAATTATACTATCTTTATATTTTGAATCTGTCATATGGAAAATATGAATGTGATACGAAACACGAGATAAACTACGTGTTATTTAAAATTAAACAAAAGAATATATTTTAATTAAAACACTGTATGTTCTATGCAGTAGTTTGTTTAATTCTTTTGTATGAAATATATAAATAGGTATCGGTCCTTATTTTAGGTACATGAGATCACGAAATATGAGCCAACTCCAGTGTATATGAGATAAAACAAACACGACTAATCGCATTATCTTTCGGAATGTAACAAGAGATTTATTTACGCAAATCATTGTACCGACAAAGAAAATATATAAAAAAAAATGCAAGTAAAGTGTCTTGGAAATACGAATTCATTGTCCTACACATTTAATCTAAAACGCATTATAAAAATAAGAAAATGTTCTCCTCGATTAGATTGCGAAATCGTCGTCAATCCTAAATGTTGCCTTATTCAAAAATCGTCCTTATGAGTAAACGATTAAATTACTATCCCTGAGCATACAACAATTGCAAAAACTAAGCGACATAATAATATTAAAATCAAAAATAGGAACTGCTTTTGGTAGCTACCGCGGTTTTCGCTTTTACACTATCGTCTCGAACGACTCTCGTTTTAAAATGCGTTAAACGTTACAAATTATCGTTGAAATCGTTAAGTATTATGTTTTCTGTCTGAATGCCATTGTGTGTGAAAGCTTGAAATTTTCTTTCCCCTGCGGCCTTCGGGCAGGACAAAATAACTTTAAGTATTGCTCCTGGGCTGTGATGATGTCCGCGAGCATAATCTATTTTTATTGAATATTATACGTACGGCGATCTCCGCCGTCAAATGCAGTTTAGTTACACGTATACGGACAATATTATAAAATCACATTCAAACGTTGTGCATTATGTAAACTATTTTTGTCGAACACTTGCACAAAAATAAAAATTATTCGCATAAGGTTATATTTTACACATAAAGCGCAGAGGCTGGGTGATGTTGGTCTTTTTTCACTCGCCTTGACGTGCAAGTCAGTATTGCGCTATTGCTTTAATTTAATCGTAATCCAACAATGATTATAATTATCGCGTAAAAAAAAAAAAAAAGAAAAAAAAAGAAAACCGTTCTTGTTGAAACTTAAATCCGAATATAATGGTAATAATTGGTCAAGGTCTTGGCGATAAAATAGGTGAGTTGTTAAACCCTAGATTTTTTCGCAGTTTTTTTTTTGCATAAAGTATTTCAACTAATTGGAAAATAAATATAACTTCTTTACCATAACCATAGTGTAATTTATATATTATGCACGTACTCGTATGTGTCTAGACTTATACGTTTAATGTCAAGAACAATACGGTATTGCTTTTAATAATATCATTCAAACCAAAAGTACATATTTTTATAAAACTAATTATATTACTATACAACATTGGATGACGTCGATGTTTCACTTACCCATCACCAGTGTTGGGACTTATCTAAATAAATTATCTAGATAGATTTTTTATCATCTTTTATCTTATCTAGATAAATAACGCTAAGTTATCTAATTACTTATCTAAGGTAAAATTTTTACTTATCTAGATAATTGTTTGTATTCTTGAAAGATTAGTCATTTTTATTCTTGTACGGAGACGAATCCAACAAATGAGATATCATAAAATCGGTCCAGCCGTTCTTAAATTATAAATTCTGTAACTAACCCGACTTTCTTTTATATATATATAGATTTTTTATTTTTAATCATAACTCGTGTATTATTAATAAGTAATTAATTCTTGGTATGACATTTTGTTTGTATTTTCATGTCGGAAAAATATTTTTGGTATTTTTTAACTTAATTTCTTATTTTTCCACGAAAGTTCTAAATATAGTAGGTATTTGATTTCAGTAAACACATGTAACTCATACGCTGAATAGTCAATACTTCACTCTTGGAACCCACTAAGTCGTAACTACTTATATAATAATGAAAATCATCAAATTAAGATTGTATGGAAAACAATATTGTTAACTTAAAATAATTTTTTATGTATTCTGTATTCATCCTGATACGTACAGAGCAATTTTCATTTTTTTTTTTTTTTTGTGTAACATTTTAGTGATTAATTATCATTAAATACTATACATTGTATATAAATACTGCTTAATAATACAATACATTACTATAATAAACATTAAACACCTAGGTACCTATTGATAATAATGATTATAATTAAGTCTTCATAGATATTATTACAAATATGAAATACTGACCAAAATATAAAAATGTTCGAAAATATCTTTTTTTTTATCTATTATCTTTATCTAGATGGATTTGGACATATTATCTTTCAACTTTATCTAGATAAATTTTGCATTATCTATTCCCTACACTGCCCATCACTGGAATCAATGAAAGATATACACTTTTCACCGGATTGTTTTTTAGTTTGTTCACACCGTTCACGGTCTGTTATCGTATTAATTCGTGTAAATTACGCGTGCACAGTTAACTGTTAATTAAGATTTCTGTGAAACTCTGATTGATATTTATGTCTAAAAATGTTAAAAAAAAAAAAACGAATGTTCACG